TCCACTTGAAAAAGTATGTCTGACCTCTTCCACACTACTGAAGACTTTATCATCTCTGAATGTGAGGATGGTTGCTGAAATCTGATAACCATCAGGTATGCATGCATCGAGAGGCCACTGTAGCATTTCTAAAACCGACTGCTGCAGAGACAGAATGTTTTCTCTGACCAGGTGGAGGATCAGGTTTCACAAGATGCCTACATGAAACATTTGCTTTCATGTGTTGGTCAGATAGTCCTTCTGGAAGTCTGTCTATTTTCTTAATTCAAATGAGGGCAGGTGTTGCGTCTGAATTGAACAAACCACAACAACTTACTGTCTCCGTGAATTTCCCACAGTGAAAGTTCTCAGAAAGTTGGACAGCAGATCCAAGTCCATCACAAAAAGGTGGCTATAAATATGCAATAAACTAAACTACTTAAATGTTTAGTCCAAAGGAAACAATGCCACTTCCTCATATGACAGCCAAATCTGTGCTTTGGCAGAGTGATAAATGAAGAAATGGCCAAACATGACTCATTAGTAAAAGCACTGCACAGAGCAGTGTGCAGTATTGTTAGCAGTAATCATTTCTGATTTAATAATCTCTTGATGTGGTTGTGTGAGCATAGCCTCTTTCAATGAATTCAAACTTTATTCCAGTCTTCTGCGCAGTACCACCGTCAGCATTTCGTGGTGGACGCACATAAGAGCATGCTCCCTCTGCCGGAGCTTATATGGTATTGTTGGGTTTGTGAATCGAAAGCTTCCTGCTTTTCCCCTGCTCCAGAATTTCTGACCTCAGCACACATGTGTTTTTGTTAACAAATTCTCATTTAGTTGCTAAAAGGGCAGAGTAAAAGTGAACCACACCAAAAAAAAAAAACTCAAAATTGAATTTAGTCCAGACTAAGTAAGTGAACTAGCAGACTTTCTGGGTCTGAAAGCGCCTTCAATTTGACATGTTTCACTAGTGAAAATAACATCTCGGGTTACGTATGTAACCCTGGTTCCCCGAGAAGGGGAACGAGACACTGCGTCGGTTACGACACTATGGGAACGCCTCTAGGCGAAGCAGGTCTGAACGTGAATGAAATCACTCCAATCCTATTGGCTTATTGCTAGAACGATAAGGTGTGACGGAATAACCGGAGGAGTATAAAGCACACCTGTACACACTCATCATTAGCTTAAACTATGAAGCAGGCGCTTCAGGCGGGGAGAGAGGTGCGGCGGGCCGACGCAGTGTCTCGTTCCCCTTCAGGCCGTACGTCCTCCGTGTGGACGGGGCCCTGGAGCTCAGGAGGGTCTCGACTGCTCCAGCTGTTAGACCCGCCTCTAGGTACTGTGCCCCTCAGGGGCCAGACCCACAGTCGCCATAAGGTGGGGCAAGGGTGAAGAACTCGGCCCTGCGCCTGGGACAGCAGGTCTCTCCTCAGAGGGACCCGCCACGGTGGGCTGTCCAGGAGCGACATGATGTCCGAGAACCACACCCGGGTTGGCCAGAACGGGGTGACTGGGGGAGCGAGCGCAGACCGCCCTGGTGATTCAGATAGGCCACCACCGCTGTGTTGTCGGAACGAGCCAGGACGTGGTGGCCTTGGAGATCGGGCAGGAAACTCTTTAGAGCCTGGAACACCGCCAACATCTCGAGACAGTTGATATGCCACTCGGATTGATGCACCTGCCAGGATCCCCTTGCAAAGCGGACGTCCATGACCGCGCCCCAGCCCGTGAGGGAGGCATCTGTCGAAATGACCAGCCGGCGACAAGACCTCCCAGCACGGGCCCCTGGGACAGGAACCAAGTTTCCTTCCAAACTGATAGGGAACGAAGACACTTGCGCGTAACCCAAATCAGACGTTCCTTTGCCACCACTGCAGGGGTCTCATGTGCAGCAGTCCAGATGGTATTACGCTGGACGCAGCCGCCAGGAGACCCAACACTCGTTGAAAGTGTTTTATAGTGATGGCGTGGCCTAACTTCACCCTTTCACGGCAGCCAATATGGTGTCGACATGTGCCGGAGACAATTGTGCCCGCATCGTTGTCGAATCCCATACTACCCCTAGGAACGTAGTCCGTTGGGTGGGTGCCAGCACACTCTTCTTTGCGTTGAGCCTCAGCCCTAAACGTCGCAGATGAGCCAGAACGACATCTCGATGCCGAACCGCCAACTCTCGAGACTGGGCTAGGATGAGCCAGTCGTCGATGAAGTTGAAATCTGGATGCCCTGGAGCCTCAGCGGGGCCAGTGCTGCATCCATACACTTGGTGAATGTGCGAGGGGAAGTGCCAGGCCGAATGGAAGAACCCGATACTGGTAAGCCACACCCCCGAAGGCGAACCTCAGGAACTTCCTGTGAGAAGGACGGATGGAGACTGGAAATAGGCGTCCTTTAGATCTATCGTGACAAACCAATCCTCAGATTGGATGTGCGTCACGATGGCGGGGATGATGAGCATCTTGAACCTGAATCTCCTCAGAGACTGGTTAGAACCCGCAGATCCAAAATAGGGTGCAGCCCTCCGTCCTTCTTGGGGACTATGAAGTACCGGCTGTAGAACCGGCGTCTCTGTCTGGGGGGGAGACACGTTCCACGGCCCCTTTCCTCAGCAGTAGATGTGGTGCGACATGGCTTGAGGGTAACGCCGGCTCCTCCAGGGAGGACGCAAGTCGAGGGGAGAGATAGCTCGCAAGCGCATCCTCCACCCGAGGCATCCTCCCATAACCACGGTCCCTAACCCCCATCACATTACTGTAGTTCAGTGATCGGGGTGTGGAAAGCCATGTAGAGAAGGGTATGCCCCATGATTTACTCAGTTCATCATGTAAATCAGGAAAGAATGGCAGAGACTGGCGTGGAGGTGGCGCGTGGTGCTTAAGAAACCTTTCATCAAGCTTACCACTAGCCTGTGGTGTCTGCTCCTCCTGTGGCCATTTGATGTTGAGCTTAGCCACGGCTCTAGTCACCACCTCCAGCAGCACGTCATAGTCGGGCGCCGCCAGATGACGCCGCCCCGACACCCGGAACACATCGTCCACTACGCTGAGCACGTCCGCCTCCTCGGAGTCGGATTGCTGCAGCGTCTCCTGATCCAAACTGCGAGCCGGAGAAGCCGAGAACGGGCTCTGAACGAGGAAAGGAAGCGTCAGAGCCAGCGGATGAAGGTCGGGAAAAAGCCTCAGCCGCCCTGAAATCCTCCGACAGATCACGCTGTGAACCCCATGAGTGAAGCCGCCGGGCCGCCTCGGCGGCCGCAGGGCCCGCGCCACGGGGAAAACACATCCGGCCATCCTCGGAAAAGAGAGCCATGTGGGACCTCAGTACCCGCACGGAAAGGGCTTCGCAACGGGCGCAGGCAGCCCCCCCGAGAGCTGCCCGGGCGTGCTCCATCCAAGTTTTATAAGGTTCTGTAGACCAAAAATATTTCAGCACTCCCACCTGTTGGGCAAAATAGGAAAACAGGCGGTTCCCCCAAGAACCGATACATGTCATTGGTTACAGTGACCTGAGCATGGGCGAATGAAGAAAAGGCCTCGCTGTCGGCCTGAAATGGAATGATGTAAAGCCTAGCCAACCCAGGTCTGACACCTGGAGAGAGAGATGAGGTGAGAGAAAAAGAGAAAAAGTACAAAAAGTTACATTCCTGTAGTATTGTAGTACCTTACAGTTTCATATACCTGTCTCAGCTTGCGCTTGAGTAGTGTCAGATCACAGGAAGAAGAGAAGACGATGTCCTGACCAGGAGAGAGGGCGTAAACAAACTTCAGGCCTCTCAACTGGGCTTCCGCTATGAGAGTACGCAGCTGACCTGAGAGGTGGAGAGTAGAGGAAAAATCTAGTATATCTAGTTTAGACACACTGTCTAGTGTTTGCAAACACTTTTAAACTATGATTACAGATGTTTAAACAACACCAGACTCTTCATATCATATGTATGTATCTTATCTGAATTTTATATCTCTTATGAACTCAGCTTGGCTTTAAATCACCAGGCCTCCATATTAACGTCTACAGTCTTCTAGGTACCATAATATAATACAATGAGCAACAAAAAAACTGCTGACGCCTTTAGGGTGGTAATGAAGAATAAATGGACAAATAAATGTCAAAAAGGCAATTTCATATTTGGGACAATGAATTTTCTGCCTGATTAAAGACAGAATTTCCGAGGGCTGTTCTGGGGTACGTTTCCCAAAAGCACCGTTGCTAACTACGGTAGCAACTTATGTTGTTGGAACTATCCAGTTGCGACGTGATTTCTCACAGATTACCCATCTGTTCAAAACAATATAAGTCACCCAAAGGTAAAAGGACAAAGCAGAGCATGAAAAAGACCGGACTTTTAATATTCCCTTCATGTGTATGTGTGTACATTTTTAGGCCTATGAGGAAGATGGGTGTCCTCTAGGCTTCATTATAAACATATATAAGAAGAAAGCATACAATTCATTAAAGTACTGTAATGAATCAATCCCTGATCTGCCATTAAGACAAAGACATTCATGGGATTTGAACCCGTGTCTGTCTCAATAGAAAACCTCCCCAATCTCCCCCATCTATTGCACTGAGCTATTCCAACATTCACCAACATCATCAGTACCCTTCATTTGTTTTTTCATTCTCTCATCATCATCATCACTACTATCACTATCATTACATTGTTCTACCTCTCATCCTGTCACAGCATCTCCATCATCATCACTACTATCATGTCATCCCAACAAACATCCTCACAGTCTTACCATCATTATCATAATTACCATCTTAATCCTCATATTCACCTTCACCATTATTGCCGTTATCAATATCATCACATCATCTTATTTCCAACATTATCATTGTCATCAGCATCATCATCATCATCATCACTACCACCAGCCATTATCCTTAGTCTTTTCCTTAGAGTCAGACATTATTGAGTGCTTTTCATCGCCTGCTCTTTGATCTCCACTTCAACCCTGGCTGATCTGCACCACATCACGTTATAAAGACCTTATTATATTCTAACTACGTCAGTGTTCATACATAGCACCACTCCCACGCCCTCCTTTATCCACAGTAAGCGACAAAACAATGCTAAAATATAGGTCAAACGCTGGTCTATTCAAAATCATCTCCCCGGGGTAAGAAAGCAAAAATCACATGATCTGACAGGAGGTCAGTTATGAAGTCGGCCGCTCTTACCTTCCACCACCCCACAAAGAAACTGCTTCCTCTCCTCCATCCTGTCCTCCCTCCGCTTCCAGTCGGCCCTATCGAGCGAGGGAAGACGAGATGCTCACCCCATCAGTCAGCTTAGATACCGGGGATCCTCTTCATTCATCTCCTCGATCTGCCTCCACCCTCCTCCTCTTCCTCTCCTTCCCTCTACATCGCTGGAGCTCTCGTGCTGCATTCAGGTACTCAGCTGAAGCTTCGGCTTTCGAGTACTTCTAACGCTGATGACAGTAATAAAAATAAATAACAGTGTGACCCTACAAAGGAGCTTGTTTTAAGTGGTTCAGTTATCAGAAAGACAATGTATACTTTATTCACATAGCACTTATGCTGTACAAACAAAGGTCATTTAGCTTACAATTAAACTGCAGAGTGAAACTATCAAATATGCTAAAATAGAGAGATAACATGACTGTAAGAATTTTTCGATTTCAATTTCAATTTCAATTTTTTTTGTATTTCAAAACACTTTATTTATCCCCATGGGGCAATTGCGAGACCCGTAGATTAGTACAAGTTAAATAAGGTCATCTTTCATAATAGACATAACCTAATATATTAATAAATGAATAGACATATATCAATGTTGTCAACAGGTCCAAATCAGCATCACTAAATGAAATGAAATACATTATCAACATAATTAATTCATGTACTGTATAGTTGGGTTGTAGTAAAAAAAAAAAAATTCAAGACATAATGCAGCCCTCTGCGTGGCAGATGGCTGAGCTCATAGTCCGGTATTGCAAGTATTTATGAATCACTGAAACAGTGTGCGTGTACTTGTATGTTTGAGTGTGTGCAGGGGAGTGAAGGAAGTAGTGATCGGGGTAAGAAGGAGTTCAGGGATGGTTGGGAGTTTAGGAGCTGGACAGCCTTAGGTACAAAGGTTGCCCTTCTCCTCCGAGTTCTGCAGCCTGAACAGTGAAGCCGACGTCCTGAGGGGAGCCACTCAAATGCAGGAAACAGAGCGTATGAGGGGTCCTGTAAAATCCTGCCAGCTAACCTCAGAGTCTGCTGCTCACATACAGTGGAGAGGGCTCTGACTGGAAGTCCTATTATTTTGGCACAGACTTTAGCTGAGTTTTGCAGGCGGTTTCTGCTTTGCAGAGTGATGGAGTGGAACCAGCAAGAGATGGAAAATGTCATTACGCTCTCAATGAAGGAATAGTAGAACGTTTTGAGGATGACCTTGCTGACCCCAAATGAGTTGAGCTTCCTCAGGAGATAGTGCAGGCATTTCCTGAGGATCTCCTTCGTGTCTGAATTAAATTTCATCAGATTGTCGAAGCTTGTGCCCAGGTACTTGTGTTCCTCAACAATTTCTACAGGCTTCCCATGGATAGTGGAACAGCCTGCCACAGCCAGTTCCCTCTGCTTGTTGGAAAAGGTCACTGCCATCTCCTTGGTCTTTTTCATATTTAGTTCTAGACAAGATTTATCACACAATTCCACGAACTCCTGAAGAGCTGAGCTGTGGTGCTGTAGGGAGCCTGAAAGCAAAGATAGGAGAACTGTGTCATCGGCGTACTTTACCAAGTAACTACAGTCATCGGTGTAAAGAATAAAAAGCAGAGGTGAAAGGACACAGCCTTGCGGGGAACCAGCTGATGTGTACAGGACATCAGATAATGTGTCATTGACCAGAACTCTCTGTGACCTGTTGGTACGGAAGTCGATCATCCAAAAAAATCAGTCGGTCGTCTAGGTAGAAAGTAAAGTTTCTCAGCTAGAATATGTGGCTGCAGGGTGTTAAATGCCGAGGAGAAATCAGCGAAAAGGAGTCTGGCTGTCGTGTTAGGAGAATCCAGATGTTTATGGATGGTGCGCGATGAGCAAACTGAAGTGGTTCCATCTGTGAGTCTGTTATCTTAATAATATGATTTTTGATGACCCTCTCCATAGCTTTCTTGGCTAGAGAGGTGAGGGGTCATGGGTCTTGAGGTTCATGATCTTGATAGCACCTTTTTTTGGTATGGGAATGACTGTGGAATCCTTCCACAGCTGAGGGACTGTGCCACCATCCAAAAAACAACAACAAAAACAGTAACCGTAACAGGAAAAACATTAATAATATAATACATTATTAGGCTACTATATTTAATAACTTGTACATTAAATGGGGAACACTTTTTTCTGACTTAAATTAAGTAAGCTGTCCGAATAGAGCGGAGTACAGAAGTCCTAAGCGGCCATCGATTCATATCTTTATTTAACTCTGTTTTCCCGTGATAACGGGATAATTTTCTCGGGATGTCGAGATAATAAAACAGTAGTTTAACAAAGCTCAGTGATTAAGGTGCATGACCCATAGTCTTAAGATTGTGCGTTTAATCCTCATAGAAGATCATCAACAAAATTTTTTTTTTTTTCCATATTCCTCTTCAACAAAGTTGTTGTGAAGATGACTGATTCACATGCTCACAATTAATCACGTGCTGGAGTGTGCACATCCCAGCGATTGGTCCACATACATCAACCTATAAACTTTTTATTTCCCCATCATTCCCAGGCAGAGGAAATTCATCCGCTTCTCAAAAGTTCTGAAATAGCCGTCAGGAAATGTGTAGTTAAATGGATTCACCTGAATCTCTTGAAAACAACTTTGTTGAAGAGAATTATTAAAAACACACAAAAGAAGAAAAAATAAACTTTGCAAAGAGCAGAGGTAGAACCTGCTATCCTTGGGGTGCAAGTCCTGCACACTACTAAATGCTGACTCAGCAAGTTAACACGAACATTATCGTAAAGAAATGCATCTGCCCACCCCTGCATTCAGCTGTCACGAGATAATTATCCTGTTATCACGAGAGAGTATATGGGCTGTTAGAGAACTTCCACACTGTTTACAAAGGCCTACTGTTATAACTCCCAGCACTGTTAAGTAGGCTACTTCTGATGCTGCTACTATTTAATTATATCGGTCTTCTCATATAAGGTGCATATAGGCTTCTTCGGATAGGCCCCTTTATAATGCTCCAGCCACACTATGCTCACTCCGCCTCACTGTAACAGATCACCTCTGTCTCGCCTAGTGTCAGAACTATGGCGTCTCGTCTTTTCAGTTAAATTATTGTGACTTTTTTTATTAGCACCTCCGCTGATATAACATTAAAGTGCAGCCTATAGTAAAAAGTGTGTTTCATTTTTTAAACATTTTATAATGAGTTCATAGAAAAGCATGTAGGATAAAACAAAACCCAAAGGGAACACTACATTAACAAATGCAACAAATGGACGTCAGGCCTTTTTCAGGGAAGCTGAAGCTGCAGTTGTTAAAGTTAATTAAAGCTACTTGCTTAACTTTAGCCAAGCTTACTTGAGGTAAAGGAGAGGGGATATTTTAGTTGGCTATGGAAAACAGTAGTCTAGCTAGCATGAATGCCACTAATATCTATATTGTAGGATTTGAAAACAACATCAGTCCTCACAGAATGTTCATGTCAGTGACTATTAAATATCAGTGTCCCTGTTAATGCTGTTGTACCGGTATATGCTTCAATTCATTTATCAGATGGATATTGGAAGATTTTTTAGCAGAGAGAGAAGATTGGCAGGGCAGCTGATTCTGAGGTCAGCAGTGGTCTACAGGTCTAAGGAATGTGTGGTGTTTTGTTTGCTTTTAACAACAGGCATTTGTTGGCAGGTCAGGCACCATGAGTGCATGTGCTCAGCATCATATCCAGAGGTTGTCTTTGGGAAATAGATGTGTGAGTGCTGCCAGCATTGCGGCAGAGGTTAAAGAGGTTGTCGTCCTAGAAGAAAGCCTCTTCTAAAAATGATGCACAAGAAAGCCTGCAAACAGTTTGCTGAAGACAATCAGAATAAGGACATGGATTACTGGAACCATGTCCTGTAGTCTGATGAGACTAAGATAAACTTATTTGGTTCAGATGGTGTCAAGTGTGTGCGGCGGCACCCAGGTGAGGAGTATAAAGGCAAGTGTGTCTTGCATACTGTCAAGCACGGTGGTGGGAGCGTCATAGTCCGGGGCTGCATGAGTGCTTCCAGCACCGGAGAGCTACAGTTCCAACATGTACTGTGACATACTGAAGCAAAGCATGACTCCCTCCCTTCGGAGACTGGGCCGCAGGCCAGTATTCCAACAACGACCCCAAACACACCTCTAAGACGACCACTGCCTTGCTAAAGAAGCTGAGGATAATAGTAATGGACTGGCCAAACATGTCTCCAGACCTAAACCCTATTGAACATCTGTGGGGCATCCTGACACGGTGGAGGAGCACAACGTCACTAACATCCACCAGCTAGTGATGTCATCGTTGAGGTGTGGAAGAGGACTCCAGCGGCAACCTGTGAAGTTCTAGTGAACTTCATGCCAAAGAGGGTTAAGGAAGTGCTGGAAAATAATGGTGGCCACACAAAATATTGATACATTTTCACTTAGGGATGTCCTCACTTTTGTTGCCAGCGGTTTAGACATTAATGGCTGTGTGATGTCTTATTTTGAGGGGACAGAAAATTTACACTGTTACAAGCTGTACACTCACTACTTTACATTGTTGAAAAGTGCCATTTCTTACATGCTGGTGCATATGGGACTAAGAGATCAGATATAACAGGCACAAGGAAGAACTGGATTTACCAGCTGATCCACAGTCTTAAATAAATTCTAGGATTATGTTGATGTGCAGAAATGAGTTCAGAAAAAAGTGTGTTCTCACATCATTAATCATTTTATTTATTGTAGGTTAAAATAACTACCAGTTAACACGTAAGTTAAGTAACGTTACTTGCAACTTACGCGATTACGTAACTTAAATAAAAATATTTAATGTAATACTTTTAGTTTCACACGTGACATGAACACCGGTCTCCTGGTTCAAGTCCGGTTTCTGGCACGCCAACCACCCCATACCCCCCAAACCCCTCCTTCCCAGTCTTTTCTGTTAAATATCATATCCCTACCTTTACTGTCAAAAACTGACAATACAGGGCTTCCCCCACTGCGTTCAACTATGATGCTATAGGGATCCCCAGTGCGTTACAAACATCCACATGTGACTTGGGAGTGAGAACAGGCTGTAAATATCTAAAACTGCTGTTTTGTGTCTGTATTTTTGGAGTTTTTTAGAGATGATACATTTACAGACGGATTGTTAATCTTTTCACACAAATAATATTGAGATAAATCGATCTCTACTGCATACAGTAATGAATACCAATGAATTGCCCCGAG